ATAGGCAAAATATTTATCAATTATATTTGTAAGCACATTTGGATTTATTCAACACTAAATTTATAAATAACCTATAATACTTGAGAGTAATGTCTCTATTAAGATAGAGCTCAGTTCTCTGTCTCTGCTACTGTTTGTATACTCAATAATAAGATGTTTGTATATTCAATAGATGAAGAATATAGAAAAGATATTTATTTGGTCTATTCTTTTTTTTTTTTTTTTTTGTACTGGGGATCAAACTCATGACCTTTCACTTATAGGGCAGGCACTTATGCCACTCTCTGGCCCAATTTGGTCTATTTTCTGTTAGAAGAAACTGGATTTAATCTATAAAAGATCCTCTAATCTATATAAATATGCTTAATCTCTATAATATTCATCATAAGTCATTTGTGGTAATTTAAAGATGGGCTCAAATTCTTTGACCGTCCTCTGACTGAGAGATGGCTTTAAAGAGACGGATTTCTCACTCCTTAAATGGGAACTAGTCTTAGTGATTTACTTGCCAGATAAACGTGACAGGAAATTACAATGTTGTAGAATCTCTGGGTTCCAGAAAATCTTTCAGCTATTTCCTGAGCTGCACTGAGTAAACCAGCTGCCATGTAATTTCATCTAACCTGAGTCCACCATGTTATGAAGAAGCTCAAAATCAGTCATATGAAGAGGTTGACTGGAAAGAGTGGTAGCCAGTCAGGCCCTGAGGTTCTGTCTGTCTCCACATAGACTCAGAAATGTGAGGAAAGGTGCTACCTTAGATATTCCAAGCAAATATAATACAGAGGACAGAGGAACCCACCGAACAGTAAGAGTCAAGGCCCCAGATGACTGGCCTCCATCCTATCTTCCCAGGTATCTGTAGGCATTCAAGCCCCCGCAGAGGCAGGTCCATTCTTAATGGATGTGTGAGTCTTCTGGGCCTCACACAAAGTGCTGACCTACAAGATTCTGAGCCTAATAATATGGTGGTTGTTGTATACCACTAAATTTTGAGAACCATTAGTAAACACTCTCTGAAGGCATAATTCCTTCATCATTTTACAGTATCTATTAAGTTCACATTAGTACATGTAGTGTTTGCCACTGTTGCCTATGGAAATGAAAACTTGATGAGGAAAAAATTGTTATAATGTAATAATCTATGCTTACAAACAAAATTGCATTTCAATGATATAAAAAGGGACAATATTTTTTCACGTCAAAAGAAATTACCAATAAAGTGAAAAGGCAACCTACAAATTTGGAAAAACTCATGACAAATAAGTACTCAGACAAGGGTCTGCTCT